GAGAAACACTAATAACTCTTTTGAACCTCGAGAGTATAAAAGAAAGACACACTTAAGAGACGTGCACTACCAGAAAAAAGGTTTTTAACGGCGATTAATAGTGGTTTTTTATGGCGGTTTTTGACGACGAAGTTGATACAGTCGATGTTGAAAGGTAAACAAAACATGGCGGTTAAAAACCGCTATGGATATTTGATTTTCCATGGCGGTTAAGTAAACAACCGTCGTGGAAAATCAAATATCCATGGCGGTTTTCAACCGCCATGTTTTGTTTTGTAAACAACGACCGTGAAAAATTAAAATTCTACGGTGGTTGCATAAGAAAGCGCCGTGGAAAGCTATATTTCCACAACAGTTACATAAAAAACCGCCGTGGAAAGTAAACTTTCAACGGTGATTTTTTATGTAACTGCCGTGGAAAAGTATTTTAACGGTGGTTATTTATATAACCGCCGTTAATTTTTTTTTAATTCTGTTCGATTTTCATTTTTACCACTCTGCAGTTTACAGTTCCAAATAAATGTAGGTAGTGCATAATACGTAGAACAAGACCATATGAACAAGAAATCAATTAGTTAGTTAATATATGCAATAAGTATTGAAATTTCTTTTACACAAAGCAAAATAGAGAAACCAATAGAACTAAGGGGAACCTAAGACCAAAGAACACATATAGGAACCAAGAGAACCAGCAATTCAGGAGGGAAAAGAAAGTAACTACTTCTGTCCGTACAATAGAAATCGTGAACATGTATAAGAGGGAACCAAGAGAAAATATCTAACAATGAATTTTTTGAGGAATGACCTAACTATTTGAAAGTTTCATATTTTGTACCAATGTTATTGACCCTCATCAAGTTGATGTCATCCATGGGATATGGCACAATATTTTGAAATACCTGTTAATCAAAAATAATATAGTAAACTTAATCAAAAATGTGAAATGAATTGAAAAATGTTATGCAACGTAACTTATCTTTAGCTCGTCTAATTTCTCAGTCACTCCTATCTCAATGATGTCATTCATGTAGTGGATGACATAATATCTACATTCAATATGTTCTTGTTGACAACGGTACTAACAAAATGAAATATAAAATTGAATATTAGACATTGTTGATTATAACATTCAATTTAATTCATCTAAAAAGGTTTAAAAGTTAGTTTAAAACAACATACCTTTGGGAGAATCCATGTTGGTAGTTGTCTATTTTATTTAATCGCCATAACATTAAAACCCTGAAAAGCCCTATCAACAGTATAAAAGAAAATGATATTAGAGCATGCTTTTATAAACTTCACAAGTAATAAATATATAAACATAAACTAACGTGTCGATGACATCTTTGGTTTTTTTGAATGGACTTCCATATAGAGTGAATCAAACCAATAAACTTTGTTATCAAAAGGGGCACAAACAATTAGAGTCCAATGATAACTGTAAAAGACAAACTATGTTAATTATAATCCTACACATACAACTTGTGTATCTCAAATACACAAGTTGTATGTGTATCTCAAATACAATAATACACTTACCTTTCCACGTAAGGTACAAAATATATTGGCTTTCTAGTCAGAGTCATTGTAGTCATCATGTAGATTGACCTCGCTTCCACAGTATTAAGCTCTTTTTGCACCCTTTGAGGACACATAAAACCATATGTTCCTTCAAGTCCTCTGTTCCAACAGATTTGAGTAAAGTGCCTGTTGTTCAAATGAGAAACATTAGGACATGCATAAAGTATAACATGAAATAAGAAAATAATATTGTAGCTTACAAAATAGCGAGCTGCATGAAGACTATATCAAGCTCCTCAAAGTTGAGGAACTGAACGAGGTCCCTCTTGTCAATAGTGAAGTCGTATGTTATATTTGAAACCACAATCCTCACCGGCATCTTGAAAGTAATAGGCTTATCCATGTTTGGCACTACAGAATGAAGAACCTCCAAACTGGAATATATAAGCGCAACATCACCAGGAAGAGGCAAGAGTACAGGATCTGATGATGCGCTCGTTGTTGCCTTCTTCGCTACCGCCTTCTTCACGATTGGCTTTGTAATAAGTCTCTTTGGCCACAAAATGCAATGTCCTTTAGCTTGGGCTAAGAGTTGAACATCATCAGTAGGATTGGGCACTGCTGTACCCCCTGACCACGAACAATCCTCTCCACTGTCACACTTGCTTGATCGCTCAAAATTTTGTTGCAGTGAATTGTTGTGCCCATGAATGCTTGACTACTAGCGACATGAACAGGTGAATTTTTATAATCCACATAGAAAGTACACAGCATCCCATTGTCTTTGACAAGGTTAGGGCTAGGGTCAAGATCAGACACTATCAGTTGATGTGTCTGATTATTACTGCTCTTCTCGCTTTTTATCACAAGTGAACCCTGAAAGATAATATGAAATTAGTTAAGGCACATTAAATAAGTTTAAATAGATCAAATGAATCTCTAGAAGATTTGAAAAGATGTGTGATTATTACCTGGGAAGGTTCAGATACTCGGGGCATCTGGAATCCGCTTGTGCCCATCATCATTAGAGTTTGTTAAAACTTGGCATCGAATTCGTCACATATCTTTTGCATCTTGCCATGTGTTGTTGACTGACTTCAGCTCGAACTCTCTATGTTTCTTCCTGTAGTCATTGGTCGAGCTCCTCTTTAGATACCATGTTAGGGAAGGATGATCTAGTGCTTCTTCGTGAAGCAGAGCCAAAAAATTCTTTAATACCAATCCCTTCAGGGGTCCCTCTGACTCAGCCGGGATGGTCAGCCTTTCCAATAACAATGGCCAAGATATCCATCCGTCCTTGAGGGATGAATGTACCTTGGGATAATTGCTCCTCAAGTGTATCCTATAACATTAAAGCAACAAATTCAATTTAAGATAATTGAAAAAGCAATTAATAAAGCATAATTCTTAAATATTACTTACAATCCTCTCAGCAACAGTAGTAGACTGTGGAGTAATGTATTGACCCTTTTTAATCTTCACCGCCTTCCATTTTTCTTGGCAAGAAGGACGATCAATGGTGGAAATGTAGCCAGTAGGATCTAAAGCAGCAGCCATCTGTGCATTCTTCATCCGTTCCTCCATCACACTTTTTTCCAACCCACCAAACCCTACACGAGACATGGTATGTGGGTACACATTCTGCTTAGATATTTGTTTGTTCTTCTGACTCAATGTCTATAACAATGAAACAAATTCGACAAAGTTAGTTTAGTTAAACAAAATATGACCTGATTAAAAACTAAGTTTGAAGAAACCAAACTTGAAATACAGGGTCTTCACGTTGCTTCACAAAACTCTCTCCCATGCCTCGTCACTAATAAACGAATATTGTTCCTTAGGATGCTCACCCTTTCTTTTTCGACGAATATAACATTTTGTAAGCGTGGCTTTAAAATCCCTCTACTGTTCATCAAGTTGCTTAAACAGACGGTCTCTCATTTGCTTAGTGGCGGGAATATCAAATGTCACCTGCAATACAATAATAGCATAGAGTTATAAAGTAAATAAGCAATTATAACACTTCTTGCTTGAACCACTCTGCAAATGACTTATTATGTTCATTAGCTAGTTGCACATCGTTCTTTCTTGGATTCAAGTTCTTCAGCATATTCTTGTGAGTATTCAAGTAAGGAAAAACTTCATCTGTGTTGTTTAAAATGTATAAATGTGCCTGCATTACAACTTCTCTTGACACCCCGTGTTCCCTCTCTTCTTCTCCCCTAATCATGTCGAGATTGAGGAAGACCAATTGCCTTTACCCTATCAAGATATGCGTTACAAAACTCAATTGCCTCCTCAGCTACATATCTCTCAACAATTGATGCCTCAGGCCAATAAGGATTCTTAGAGTACCTTTTTAGAATTTTCATGTATCTATCAAAAGGGTACATCTATCATAAACACACAGGACCACAAAGTCTTATCTCTCACACAAGATGAGCTGTCAAGGGGACCATAATATCAAAATATGATGGAGGAAAATGCATTTCCAATTGGGAGAGGATCACATAACCTTCATTTTCTAATTCATCCAACTCAGCAGGATCAATGACTTGTAATAGTATTTCTCACATTGGTTTTCATAATGTCTCGAATAGCAAGTGGAAGTACTTATTGCATCAACACATGACAATCATGAAACTTCATTCTCGTTATCTTCAAATCTTGTATTGAAATAAGTTTGCTTAAATTAGAATAATAACCTTGTGGCACCTTAATACTATTGACAAAACCACATAAACTTCTTTTCTCTTCTTTTGATAATGTGTGTGCAGCTGGATGTAAATAAGCCCTCTTACCATGTCTTTCTTGTGGGTGGAGGACATTTCTTATTCCAATTTGACTAAGTCTCGTCTTGCATTGATTCCATCCTTAGTCTTTCCACTTATATGCAAAAGTGTACCAACAAGGCTCTCACACACATTCTTCTCCACATGCATCACATCTAGACTATGCCTCACATCAAGACTTTGCCAATATAGAAGATAAAAAAGATAGATCTTTTTTCCATATATTCCTCTCACCGGTAGTCTTCTTCTTTTTACCAAAGACCACATTAATTCCCTCCATCCCTGATAAACTTCTTCTCCAGTTAATGGTCTTGGAGCCATTTCATATTCTTGTGAGCCATTAAATGCCTTTTTCAATCTACGGTAAGGGTGATACCAACTAAGAAACCTTCTGTGACCAAGGTATACCGTCTTCCTGCCATGTTTAAGTTGCATATAGTGGGTGCCTTCTTCGCGTATTGGGTATTTTTTATGCTCCTTAACATTGTATCCTAACAAATTTCCATATGCCGGAAAGTCATTTATCATGGTGAAGATCATGGCACGTAAATTGAAGGTCTCTTGTTTATATGTATCAAACACATCAACACCTTCCTCCCATAATTTCTTTAGATCCTCAATCAAAAGTGCCAAATACACATTGATATCGTTTCCCGACTATTTTGGCCCTAAGATCATCAAAGATAGCATGATATACTTTCTTTTCATGAATAACCAAGGAGGCAAGTTCTAAATTACGAGGAGCACTGGCCAAGCACTGTGTGTGCTACTAAGATTACCATATAGGTTAATTCCGTCCGTACAAAGCCCTAGCCAAAGGTTTATTGGCTTGCCACCAAATTGAGGAAATTTTTTATCTATTGTTTTCTATTGAGGAGAATCTGTCAGGTGACAAAGCTTCCCATCACATATTTTCTCATCGAAATGCCATCTCAAGTTCTTTGAATCTATGACATTAGCAAATATATGCTTAAATCGTTGTATTATTAGAAGATACCACAGAACCTTCAAAAGGAGAACCTTTGGTTATCTCATTATAATCACCATCATCTTTCTTCATTTTGTATCTTGAAGCCCCACATTTAGGGCACTTATTCAACCCTTTATAATCATTTCTGAATAATATGCGGTCATTAGGACACGCATGTATCTTCTCATATTCCAAACCCATCGGACACAAAATTTTCTTTTTGCCTCATACATTCGTTTTAGAAGTGAATCCCCTTTTGGAAGAATATCACTTAGCAATTTAAGCAATTCTATAAAACTAGCATTGGTCCAACCATTTCTTGCCTCATTCAAGTTTTCAGTTCAACACGGTTGTCAACCTTGTGTAATCATCTTTTGCACCCTGGGTATAAAGGCGTCTCTGCATTACTACACAAAGTTTCAAAGGTGGGAGAGAATTGTATAGAGGATTCAGACCTTATATCACGAAATATATCTAAAATTCTATCACCAAAGTCTTCATTCACAACCTTCTCTTTTGCAGATAGTGTAGTCTTTCTAATTTCTCCATGCCATATTCAATTTGTATACCTCAAATTTATTCCATCATAGATAAGATGCTCTTTTATCTCAGAAATACTCCGTCGACTATGGTTTAGACATTTGACACAAGGACAATAGTACAATTCATCTCTTTTTCTAGGAGCATTTCTCTGAGCAAATTCAAGATACCTTTCAACCCCATCCTCATATTCCTTACCAATTCTCTTAGCTTTTATCCAACTACGATCCATTGTTCTACAGAGTCTATGAATATAGTTGTCAAGCTCAATTCTAATTCCTTAATTCAGATATTGAAATAATAAAATCATTAATGTTAGTCAATAAATTAAAATTGACTAACACTTAATTACAAATTAAAGAGAATGTCTCTTTTTTAAAAATACAAAATTTGACAAAATTTCCCCTTAACAACTATGTACAAAGTAAACACCAAATTAGAAAAAAAAACTCAAAATTTTTAATCAACATGAATCCAAAAATATAACAAATAAAACAAAAGTAAAAATAACATATTTCAATGGTGAAATAGTTAAAAAAAGTTATTTTAATAAAAAAACTATTCTTCATAACATATTTCAACATGATAAATTTGAAGAAATATAACAAATAAAGCAAAAATAAATTTTAATTTCAAACCAATTCAATTAATAAAGATTCTTAAAGCTAAAACTTCTGAATCCAAAACGGGAACACAAATGATATCCATTTGCAGTGAAATTCTAAACAACACTTTACTATCAATCAAAGTTCATAATGAAAAAAAATACAAAATAACAAACAGATTATTTATTACTAAATTCTCAAATTTATTACAAAAAAAACTACCAAAAATTCAAAATAAATATCAAAAAATTATAAAAAAATCAAAAACTTCACAACTAATCAACTTCAAACGTTTAAACATGTTTCTAATACTGTATATAGAAAGGAATTGAGGTTTTCTCACATCAAATGCCCACCAATCAACGGTTCAAGCACATAAAAAACACAAAATGAATAATACAAGCCAACCACAATGTAAAACTAACAAACCCATTTGAAATGCAACAGATTTTCATGGTCAAAACATTCACAAACCAAGAAAAATTGAAAAGAATGAAAGAAGAGGATACTCACAGAGTAGAGATGATTCAAATGTGAAATAAGGGGCGTTCGAATGGCGGCGGACGGCAGCAAGACACCACAAGCTAAATGGAGGAGTTTAAAGGTGAGGGAGTTGGGGGAATGGCCAGTAATAGAAGTTTTTCGGTGGTGGGACAGAGGGGGACCACGTCGCACTGATGAAACAAAAGAGAAATGATGGAATACGAAGGCGCCATAGGGTTATTGAAAACTTTCCACGGCGGTTGTTAAGAAAACCGCCGTGGAAAGAATTTTTAACAGCGGTTATTTACAACCACCGTGGAAAATCAAAACTCATTCAACTTATTCACAAAAATGCCACCGCCTTTTTTTCCACGTCGTTTTTCTGCTTAACCAATAGAAATATCCTTTGATTTATTAATATCACTTTGTCTTGTTATAAAAGAAAACTTATCTACACGCCTAGCTAGCTAGCCAAATTGTTACGGGTCGGCGAAAGGATCACATTGTCCCCTTCAACTTCGGACATATTCACTTGTAAATTACGAAACTTAATTGTAAATTCGTGATAATTAGTTGTAAATTTCAGGTAATTAATTTCTAACAATTATTTGCACAAGTGGATTTATAATTACACATACACATTTTAATAATTAGAAAAAATAAAATAACAAGTGTTCATATTTTATAGGTAAATTTGTAAGAGCTCACAGATACACATGCATTTTAATCACTAACAATAACAATATAACAGGCATCTTACAAAAATTTACAAATTCTAATTTTCATTATAATAACTAATACAAAACTTTACAAGTGTTCGTATGTCAATTTAAAAGTGTACATATGTATTTTAACAACTAACAATGACAAAATAACATGTGTAATTAAAAAACTTGGCTTAATAAATATAAGTAACTTAACCAAAATTTTGTCCTTTTACATGATGCCTTTCAATTTTACCCCCGCAAATTCTCATTAGTTACAGCTATCTAGTTTCTCTGGGAAATCCCCAAATACACTTAAATAGGAATAGGCGCTTCTATCCAATTTGAGACAAAACTCCTTATAAAATAACTTCAAATAAGTTAATCCAAACAAGTTTTGTCCCGTCTTAAAAAGTACCTCTTGATCTTAAGAACTCCTTCTCTCATATGTACATTTAACAACTAATCGATATAAATTTACAACTAAAATTTTCGTAATTTACAACCCTAAAGTTGAAGGAGACCAAGTGGCACTTTCACATCCACTGAAAATTATAATTAACCAGGTCTTAAGATATTTGCGGCTGTATTTTTATGGAGATTTAATTATAAAAATTTCTCATTTGAGACTTATACATAATTTATTTTTGAATTTTTTCCGCGGATGTTATTAGTAAGGGATCATCGACTGAGGAAAAATGATGCCAGGACAACTAGATTTATGACAGTCAAGGCTTTTCATCCGTTACGTATGATAGAAGCCCAATCAGCTTCTAGATTAAAGTATCCGATGGGGAATTTGACCTTTTTTTTTTTTGGAGCCTCACTTAATAAATTTTGGATTAAATGTATCTCAACAATGCTAATAAATTTTCATGAATGTTTAATTATTTATGGGAAGTGAGAGAAATTTTTTATATGGATATATAATTTTATCCTTCATTTATTATGTATTGTGTTGACTTTATTTTCATAAGATATATATAATATATATTAAATGTAAAGTTAAAAAGTTATTAAATTTTAAAAGAGATAGGTGCGTCTGAGAAACAAACATAACTAATAAATTAAATGTGTAAAATAGCATTTCTGAATATCAAATATAATACACTTAAATAGATTTTTGTCTACATAGCTTCTTTTGCTTGCAAGGAAGAAATGATTGCTAATGCTCCGTTTGGATGGAGAGAAAAGTTAGGAGGAAAGAAAACGGAAGGAGAGAAAGTGGAGAGAAGAGAAAACTGGAGAGAACATGTTATCACCTCTTTTGTTTGGATAGACGAAAGAAAATAGAGAGAAATAAGCAAAAACATGAATGACCAAAATATCCTTACATATAAGAATATATCATATTTAAAATCAAAATCAATATTAGAATAACAAAATGATATTAACGTTAACATGATCAAAAAATTTATAATCAAATAATTTGATAAACATATAATTTCATAATTTTCTATTTTAAACCAAATAATTTTAGAGAAAAATATTATTTTTGAAGGTTACAAATTGGATAATTTTTAAAATGAAATATAATTAAAAGAAGTATATAAATTAAACATGATCCAATATTTTCGAAACCAATGTCATTCCAAATCCAAAACAGAACCATAGCAAAAACATTTCCCCAATAATAGACATGGATAAGAATCAATCTTGAAGAGAGAGAAAGCAAAAGCATCAAGTCAATATCAGGGAACCAAAATTATCTCCCAATTCCACCAACTCAATCAGAATTGCAAGAAAACCATGAAATTTCAATAGCAGTAGTACAAAGGAATTATTTTTTCTCCTAACTCAAATGTGAAATCATGAGGGACATGGTCCATGAATTAGAATGGTTGAAAGGAAAAAGAGTAGAAAATAAAAGGGAAAAGATGGAGCAGGGATAAAAGGAAATATTCACCCGATAGTCGAAGCAATGATGGAGCTATGATGGTGTTATGGACCTGATCCTTGCATCTGTATTAAGAAGAATGATTTTGAGTGGAGTTCAGGATGGGAGGCACGGCTAGGTACGTGTGCAAATTTTCAGAATAGAAAAAAAAGAAGAAAAAAGGAACATGTGAAGGAAAAAGGGCAAGTATGAAAAAATAAGTTTTCTTCCCATTTTCTCTCCATATGTGGAGAGAAAAATTGGGTGGGTCCCACACCTTATTTTCTTTCCAACTTTTCTTTCCTCTCATTGTTCCTCTCCCATCCAAATAGAAGAAAACACACTTCTCTCCCCATTTTCTTCTCTAGTTTTCTTTCCTCTCTCTTTTTCTCCCCATCCAAACGGGGGTAAATGCTTTTCCTCCCACCAAGCGCCAGATCAAAAGGAAGAAAGTTCAAACAATATGCAAATTTAGAGCAACCAGCCAAATTTAACATTCTTAAAGAGGATAGAGAAAATAAATCATTAGGAATACTAACTAGATTACTACAATTCCTCAAATTTAAGAATTCGAGTGTTGAAAGAGAAGCCATTGATGAATCAAGCTGTGATAATTTACTGCATCCTTCAAGCTCTAGCCTCCGAAGAATTGGTAGGGATTTGAAATTTGGCAGCTTTATTAAATCTTTAGACCCACTAAGATTCATGTTCTTCAAGAGAAAGAACATCTGTGGATTAAAAAAAAAAAACCAAACAATTAGCTAAACAATATCTACAAGGGCATATATAGGCACAATTAACGTTACCTTTTCTTCTTCATCATCCCATATACTTGTGACACGGCTATTAGGCAAAATCAATTCGGCAAGAAAAAAGGGGCGAAAACTTGATGGCAAAGAAGTGAATGGATATTGGTGCCATGAAATATATTGGAGCCACAAGGGAAGATACTTTAAGACTCCAGAAAATTTTACAATGCGAAATATGAGTAATCTAAGGTTTCTCATGCGTGATAGACTTTCAGCTCTCAATGTAGGCCCTTGTGAATCTTCTAATTCCAAGACTATTGCTTTAACTTCAAGAGTAGCCTGATAATAAAAACATTTACATAAAAATGATGCAAAGTCTTCAATTTTAGTACATTATGTGTTAAATGTTTCAACCAAAAGAACATTATGAAAACTTACCATGTCATTTTGCATAACACCAAAAATATCATCAAAATCCCACAATTTGCTCCACTCTTCTGGCTTAGAAGGAAATTTATGTCGAACAATTTCTCTTCCCATTTCTTGCACTAAACTATGCATTTGAATTTTCTGATCTACAATGGCCATGAGTGACTTCTCAGTCACAACTTGTACATCGTACTTCACTGGTATGAACGCTATCCAAAATTCCTGCCACGAATTTAATATCCTTTCCATTTAAAAAACATGCCATGTCTAAAAATATTTCCTTGCAGTCACGGTCCATTTCATCAAAACTATTTTTGAGGACCTTCATTATCATAGAATTAGCGACCTTTTTCAGTTCAACCAAGGCACTACTCCATTCTGAAGCTCTTCTGTTATACAAGAAATGGCCCAGTACAACAATAGCTAATGGCAGGCCACTAGCATATTGGAGTACACTATCTATTTTTGCTCCTCATAACCTCTCAATGGAAAATCATATTTGAAAGCTTCTCTACAGAACAATTGAAGAGCTCCGTCCTTGGTCAATAGTTTAACCCTATAAATATAATGCTTCCCAAGCCATTTAAGGTCTCCTTCATCTCTAGCTACTATGATGATTCTACTCCCTCCACCTAACATGTTAGAATTTACAAACCAGATCATCCGATTTACATAAGGGAAGACGAATGCCATCAATAAACAGGAGAATATTTTCTAGAATATTATTTTTGAGATATTTTCGACTTGCAACCTTGTGAAATTCAGATGCATTGAGTATGAAATGAGAAGCATAAAAATGGTGAGAGATCCTATCATGTAGAACTCTAGCAAGAGTTGTCTTCCCTACCCCACCCATACCACAAATGCCCAACACAGGAACTTCATCATTCATACCCAGCTCTAGAAGCTTTTCTACATCTCTCACTCGAGATGGCATTCCTACTAAATCTGCATCAACATATTCCAGTTGACGTACTTTTTTCTTGACCTCTCTAACAATGTCATCAGTAACTTGTGGGCATGGGCTGAAGTAAAACCAGAAACAAAAGCACCCAATTAGTAACTTATTCAATACCCCGTTACACTATAATTGATAGAGAAAAAAGGCAAGAGTAAATTTACTTACTCATATGGTACATCCCAACTTTCAGAGAGATTGGCCACTTGAGTTATTGCTGATCTCCAAATGTGTCCCTTGCGTAAATTTGTTGGGAACCTTTGTTCATGTTGAGCAAAAGCTTTTTCAAAAGAGTTACACTGGTTTTGAACCTCAGATGGGTCAACACCATAGAAAATTGGGAAAACAGTATATCGCGATTCATGAACACGAACAGCGATCTCTGAGAGCTCCTCAAGGCACCTTATAGAAGAACCATAGTTTTTGGAGAAGACAACGATGGAAATATTGGATTGTCAAATTGGTTTAAGAAAATGACGAGGAAGACAGATGGAATCACCTGGTTCAAGCTTCTCATCATCCCAAAAGGTATTCAAATCGTCAGTCTCAAGAGATGCCCAAAGCCTATCTGTGAATTTGCAAGTTTCGTCATCTCCTTTGATACTTAGATAAACTTGGATCGGCCTTGATGATGATGATGGTCCAGTAACGAAACTCTCCCCCATCACTTTCATGATCGGTCGCGTTTCTCAATGGGAATTAAGCTGGATAGAGTGGAGTCACAATTTGCTCACTTAGCTCTAGAAGATGAGCGAATGGAAAAGAGAAACAAAATTAGAAGCCGAAAATAAAATGAAAAGTGTATTGTTAAGGAGGAAATTTCCGGGAGGTTGGCGCCGAGAGGGATACGAAGAAGTTCCAAATTGTTGTTTCTTTTAGTGCGCACCTTTGATAAGAATTGAAAATAAAGAATTTTGTTAACTGCTTATACTCTTTCTCCTTTTCATTGTGAGGTAGGCAAGAAGTTGACAGAGACCAGACACAACTAGCATGCTCCTTCAATAATTAATTTCTAACGATTTTTGTTATTTATTCACTTATTTTTTATGGAGTACTTGTTCAGTTTTTCTTCGATTGGTCTACAGCCACTTGGGTTGCAGATAATCCTTGAAAAAATTAGGGAAAATGACAAGAAAATGACTGTTGAATTTTGAAATGACAAAATGAGCATGTAAATTACTGAAATAACAAAATGGCATGGGGTATTAATCTGGAATTTGGATAATTCGTCAAAAAGACTAAAATGCTCCTGAACCAGTCTGAAGACATGAAGAACGAATACATGACACGTAATAGCAGAAGAGAGAGAGCTCAGAAGCTGAAAACGCAGCTGGAGTAGAGTTGAACGCTGAGAAGACGAAAAAGGTAAGGAAAATTTCTCCTAAAATGCTCTTATCTACTCCTCCAACTTTCACCATTCCACAAATCTGATTTATTACGGTGGAATTGCTTTGTGGACAACTTGGTTTGCAGTGAGAGAGAGAGGTTGAACGTGGGTATTACATAAGAAAGTGGAGCTTAACGATGGGTTTCAGTTTTCAAGTCGGTTTACTGGTGTATGGTCTAATGGGGATGGGTTTATGAGTGTAGATGGTTTAAATGAAGAACCTGACCAGGATGAGAGAGTGATACATTGGAAATGGAAAAATAGTGGGAACTGATAACGTGGGCATGAAGTTTGAGGGCTAACAGTAAGCATGAGGTGGTCAGTGTTGTTAAATTCATTATTGGAATTGTGAAATCCCATATTTAAGTTGTCAATGCAGCAATTGTGTGTGTGCATTTTTTGGGTGTTGCATTTTTTGTGAAATCCTAAGAAAAGTTTTGAAATCTTGATAAATGAAATTGATTATTGGGGAACTAAAATATTGATTTATGCTTCTTTGGTGCAGGTTAGGTAGCTTTGATGACATCTAACATTGGGTCAACATCTTCAAAGCATCTTGCTTGTTACTTTCATGTGGGTGGGAACTTTGCAGAAAATGGTGATGGTGAAGTTAAGTACTATGGTGGAACTGTCAGGGTAAGAGTGATAAAGGAGGGTATAAGACTTGAAGATTTGAGGGTTATGATAGGAGAATGGTTTGGTGTAGATAGTAATGGTTGCGACATTAAATACACATTGGGCTTTGATGATAGGATATTAATAGATCTTATTGATGATGATGAAGTTGACAACCTATTTGAGTATAATGATAGTAATGCACATGTTTACGTAACATCTAAAGGTAATGAGAATACGGAGGAAGAAGTGGCTGATCGAAACAGGTAAGTCACAAGTTTCTGGTTATGGAAGTTGTTAATTGCCATAATGTTGTTGTCAATATCATAACAAATGTTGTAATTATACATGCAGCATGTCGAAATTGTCGGGACTGTCACAGCAAAATGATGAGCCAATGATTCAGGATGCTGTCGAATGTGTGAATTACATAGTAGCTGAAAATGTTCTTATCCTGTCATATGTAGTAGAGAGTGCACCAACTCCTTTGCCAGGGATGAATTCCCTGAAATGGAAGACAGTATTATTAGGATTGAGGTAGACTTTTCTAGATGCGGATGATTTCAAGAAGAAACTACACAAATTCAGCATTGCAAACAAATTTGAGTATAACTATGTGAAGAATTCTAATGCCCATATGTATGTCAAATGCAATGTTGAAGGCTGTCCATGGAGGATCAATGCGAGAGCAGCTGGAAAGAGTACTCTAGCATTTTTACGTGTAACAACATTCAAAAATGAGCATGTTCATAATGCCCAAGACAATCTTCACGTGACACATGGTGGATCAGCTAGCTTGACATCATCAATTATAATTGAAGAGGTTAGGGATCACATAGACATGTGTCCAAATAATATAAAAAAGAGGTTGGAAAGAGATTATGGTGTGAAGTTGACATACAAGCAAGCATACAGGGCCAAGGAAAAAGCATTAGAGGACATACATGGCAGACCTGATCAAACTTACATGCTTATTCCATGGATATGTGATCGGTTGAAGGAAACAAATGACAAAACAGTGGCAAAATGGGTGGCTGCAAGGAACAACAGATTTAAGCGTGTATTCATAGCCTATGGGTGTTGCATAGAGGGTTTTATTGCTGGTGCTAGAAATGTACTGTATATTGATGGAAGTCATTTAAGTGGACCGTATAAGGAGACATTACTTTCAGCATCGGCTTATGATGGGGACAATGAATTATTACCTTTTGCCATTGCGATTGTGAAGGAAGAGACACTTGAGGATTGGACATGGTTCTTACATATGATTAAGGAGATAGTTGGGTCAATGCAATTAACAATTATTTTAGATAGAAAAAATGCAATTATAGGCGTTGTGCAAGCAATATTCGGAGGTGAGTGACATGCGTACTGTTACAGACATGTTAAGGAGAATTTCAATACACAAATGATCAAGTTAAATAGAGGAAAAAGGAAGACAAGTGGCAACACAAGAGAGGATGGACTGCATTTCCTAGATGCCATTGCATATGCAAGGCTTGACACAAAGTTTGATCAAGCAATGGATAACATGAGACACTTCAATTCCCAATTATTTGAATGGCTTATCAATCATGGTGATATTCACAAGGGGGTCTTAAGCAAGTTCCCTTTTAAACGATGGGACAACATAACAACAAATCTTACGGAGTCATTCAATACGTGGATGTTGAAGGAGAGAAGATATAATGTTGCCCAACTTATACATGAGCATCGTGAAAAAGTAGCCAAGAAGATGTATGCAGCAAGCATGGCAATGAGCAAATGGAAGAATGATGCAAGCCCAAATACAAATGCAACATTGATGGAAAATATGACGAGATCTGCACGGATGTTAAGTGTTCCTTACGGAAAGGGGAGGGTGTGTGTCCATACAGCAAAAGGAACCATTAATGTTGATCTTGAAAAAGGTGAATGTAGCTGTGTAGTGATGCACACAATTTGTGAATAACGCAAGTGCACGTGTCGATCAAGTAATAAAAAGTAAGTATAGAGTATCGTTCCCACAGAGAATTAGACAAACTAGTGTTTAGGCACTAAAGTTCCTGTTTTCAATTAAGTTAAGCAAGCTGAATTATGAACGATCGGATAAAAAGACTAAAGACAGAAAAAATTCAATATTAAAGGCAACTTAGAGTTACTAATCCCTTACTAGTTTCATAGACTTTTGCTTTTTATTTAACTAATTAGTCTCAATGTTAATTTAGTTAATCTAGAGTATTTATAGCTAAAAGTGTCTTTCGATCCACTTATAACTCTCTCCTAAGTAATAAGGTTATGTCTAACTCAAATACTTAAGAGGATAAAATAATTTCACTCTTCATCAATTATATGGGGCTCCTAGGTATATTTCTATCCTACTCGCAAATTAGATAAAAATCTAATCCCATATTACTCAATCCTAGAGTCTAATTAAGATTTCCTTCGTCAAGGCTAACCTCAATGCTCAAACTCATATTTAATGATGGCCAAACATTAAACAGATATATTAAACCAAGATCAAGTAACCAAAATTAACATCAAGCATAATTCATTAAATGAAAACAAAGTCTAATCCATACGTAAGTTCATAGCTACTCTAAGTCTAGAAGAAAACTAGCCACACATGGCTAAAATAAAATCCATAAAAATAAAATTCAAACTGAAAAGAAAGAGTTCAGATTTAACAAAAGGATAAAGATGGAAAGAGGAAAACAAATCTATGAGGCGCCCTTCTCCGCTGTCGCTAGAAAGAGAATCGCCACCTCTGCTTGCTACCTCCAGTCTGCTCGTCTCGATTCCTCACTGCCGTCACAGCGGAACCAAGAAAATGGATTCTGCCGCTCTCTACTCGCTACTTCTTCTCTGCCTTCAGCTCTCGCTGCCGCTCAATAGCACGAAGAAGTCGAGATGTCCCTTCGCTGCTATCCCCGGTACCTATTTATAATTGTTGCGTGTCTTCTCTCCCGTGGATCCCCGCCTCTTATCCATCTCCATCCATATATATCCAATAATATAATATATTATATCTCATCATGATTTGCCTTGCGTTATCACGGATGCTTTATCTTCTTCCTTGCAGTCAATATAATATACTATATCATATTGCAACCGATTTACTATTTTTGAATCCACACGCCGCACGCCTCTTCAGCCTTTATATCCTTCAATATAATATTAAATCATAATTGAGGATTTGCTTCTTTCATGAACTTCACGCCTTTGATCCTCCTAATATGTGAATATATATATATTATTTGCTGCATATGTTGCTCCCCTTTTGCCTCATCTTTTATTTGTGATATTTTCTTCTTTCAATAATTTTATATCTCCTGCATTAAAAATAATAAAAGATTTGAGTAGATTTTATGCAAAAATCGTCTTTTATCTTATAAGAAGATACATTAATAAAAGATGGTTAAATAGGTATAAATTATCCACATATTTCACTAAATATATTTCAAAATCTATGCCTATTTAATTATAAAAATAATCATTATCATGTAGCTTGGCAAATGTCAGGCATCCCATGCCCGCATGCATGTGTAGCTATCAAGGCCTTAAATTGCAATGTGTATGATTTTATTGAAGAATGCTACAAGATTACGTCCTAATAAAAGATTTATGGTAGGATAATGACTCCAGTGGTGATAATCGGCATGCCAAATCCTAATAACTATCGGCTGCAAGATATAGCAAGTCAAGTGTTTTTGGCACCACCTTTGACTAGTCGACCGCCAGAAAGGCCTAGGATAAATAGGCAAGAGTCGCAATTTCAAAACAAAAAGGTGTACCATTGTAGTGCATGCCAGCAAGTTGGCCACACAAGAAGAACATGCAAGAATCCAAACCCAACTTAAGATTTGATGTCAATACCAACAGGGGTAATTTTTTTTTATAGGAATGGAATGACTCTTGAACCCTTTTTAATTTTTTTGGGAGAAGGATTGATAGGTAGGCTATCTTTTTTGTAAATGATGTTAACTAGGTAGGATATGTTCTGTAATCTGAATGACAAGAAAATATTAGGCGGTGGGTTAATCCTAATGTTAACTTGTCATTTGGATATCAGTTATGTAGCTTCTGTCATAGGCCTACTGGTTTTTGGTAAATATTATCACTTCAGTGGTCAATTCCTTTATAGATGTAGTAAAGTCTGAATGTTAATGTAAAAATCCTATGATGGGTAGGCTATCCCTTTTGTAAATGATATTTACTGGGTAGGATATGTTTTATAATCTGAATGACAAGGAAACATTAGGTGGTGGATTAATCTTAATGTTAACTTGTCATTTGAATATAAGTTATGCAGCTTCTATGATGGGCCTACTGGTTTTTGGTAAATATTGTCACTTCAGTGGTCAATTCCATTACACATGTAGTAAAGTTTGAATATTAATGTAAACATCCTGTGATGCTCTTCAGGTGTACTTCTATGCTATTTTGTCAACACAGATGACCTTGTGTTTAATGCCCTCGAGGGAGATGGTGGAAGTTGCCAATGGGTATGACTGGAGTGGTTAATGTCATCAACGATGTTGTTATTCACATTACCAATGTTGTTATTATCATTTCCGGGCTAGTGAAACTCCCTGAAAATGTATTACTTGACTTTGAAATAAAGGAAGTGGAAGTGGAAAAAGCAGAGTGGTAAATATCATCACTAAAGTTGCATTTAAGATTTCCAATGTTGTCATTATCATTACAAGGGTAGTGAAATTACGTGAACAATTTGATGCGTGGGTTTGAATTAAAGGAACCAGAAATGGGAAAAAGCAGAGTGGTAAATCGCATTAGTGAAGTTGCAATTAAGACTTCAAAATGTTGTCATTATGATTACGGGGATTCCTTGAACAATTTGATGCGTGGGTTTGAAATTAAGGTGGAAAAGGAAAAAGCAGAGTGGTAAATATCATCACTAAAGTTGCAATTAATATTTCCAATGTTGTTATTATCGTTACGGGGGTAGTGAAATTTCGTGAACAAGTTGATGCGCGGGTTTGAATCAAGGGAACTGGAAATGGGAAAATCAAACTGGTAAATATCATTATTGAAGTTGCAATTAATATTTTCAATGTTGTCATTATCATTACGGGGGTAGTGAAATTTCTTGAACAATTTGATGTGTGGGTTTGAATTAAAGGAACCAGGAATGGGAAAACAAGACTGGTAAATATCATTACTGAAGTTGCAATTAAGATTTACAATTTCATACATGGGTTCAGAACATGGGGATGCAAATAGGGAAACCGTAATGGTAAATCTCATTACTATAGTTGCAATTTACATTAACAATGTTGTGATTTTCATTACCCAGGTAGTGAAATTTTTTGACAAAATTTATATGTGGGTACGAACATGCAGTTGCAAAAAGCAATAGCGCGGTGGTAACAATCATTACAAAAGTTGCAATTTTCATTACGAATGTTGTGATTATCATTACCGGGGTAGTGGATTTCCGTTAAAAAAAGTGTTACTTGGGTATGAACATGCAGAGTTGCAAAAGGCAATGGGAAGATTGTAACTATCATTACACAGGTTGCAATTATCAGTACGAACGTTGTCATTATCATTACTGGGGTAGTGAAAATGGATTAAAAAAACGTGATTTGGGCTTGAAAGACTTCAGATGCAAATGGCAACAGTGATGTGGTAACTATCATTACAAACGTTGCAATTCTCAATACGAAAGTTGTTAATCCTATTACTTGTGTAGTGAACCTAGGTCCTAATTTGGGGCACAAATAATCAACTTGTGATTATCATCACGGAAGTCACATGGCATGTTGTAAATACCATAACTTTTTTACTCAAATTATCCCAAAAAGGATTGCAATTAGGCTAACAAATGGCAGCCACTTACTACCACTTACTACCTCCAACCATAAGTCAAATATGTTCACAAAAAACTAGCACTGCTTTCACAAGTACTATATGCCTAATCTACATAATGTTTCCTGCTATTATAGATGCCGTCTTTTGGTCAGTGTGGTGGCTTGGGTTGATGAAAGCAAGCTTAATGCTTTATCATGTCTTGAATTAAGCTCATGATTCACTAGCCACCACATGAGGTTTCGTCAGAATTCACACGTATATTATGCCCAACATTACAGCAACACAGCAATCAAACAACAACAATCAGAGAGATATCTCGTCAAACATGGACCGAGTTATATGAATCAAAGCAAGCACACAACTTCTGTAATTCCGTCACAGACAAAAGCACCGAGTTTTAATCTAATCTACCTTTACATTCCATTTTAAGCCTTTACCATTGCTTCCTCCACTTTACAACCAACATTCACCGTTTTCCCCATATCAAAACACTCCAATCAGACAAGTACAAGATGGAGAGATTTAGGTGGCTTACCGGGGTCGGAATGA